GGCGGATGGAAAGAAACCATCAGAAAATCTCTTCCGCATGCCTGGGGTCTCCCCCCCGGGCTGCTGCCCCCCTTTCAATCCCGCCCCCTGGCAAGGCCTCTGAAAAACCTGCCAGTGCGATACAGCAGCGCCTTGGGGCTCTGCCTGGCCACTTACAAGGCTTTCAGAGGTCAGCTGCCCCCGTGAGGTGGTCTTGCTGGTGGTGGTGGGTCCTCCCGGGGTCGGGCGCGGGGCATAAGGCACGCAGGCGGACGTTGCTGGTGTGGTGGTGGAGTCTGGACGCACCCGGGGAACTCGGCCATCTCTAAGGTCACTTCCGTTGGGCCGGGCCGAGCAGCTGTGGGTCTCGAGGGGGGCGCGGTGTGCTGGCGGTGTGCGGGGGCTGGGTGCCATGGCCGGCAGGCGGTGTGGGGGCGGATGGGAGCTGTAAGCGGGAGACGGGTACGGGAAGGAATGTGCCACTGGGTTCCTCTGCTCCTAGGTGGGCAGCCGGGGCGGAAGAAGAAGAAGAAGAAGAAAAATCTGCGTTAAGGACGCAAAATCAGTCCTCCCGCTTGGAAACCCAAAGGCTTTTTCCCTAGCCAGATCCCTTCCGTTCACATCATGCGTCCTGCGAGGTGGAGCTCTCTGGACTGCTGTGAGCTTGCGGGGAAGGGAGGCCTGGGAGAGTTGGAAAGGCCTGGAGAAGCATTCAAGGTCTCCAGAACAAAAGCCAGAAGAGGCCTTGAGCCCCCCATCTCCCCCCCCAATCTGCAATCCAGCCCTTCGCAGATCCCAAGCCAAGCAGGCTGCTGAAAAGGGGCAGGCAGAGCACGGGAGTCCAGGCTGAGCCAGCCGGCCCCTCCCTGCGTGAGGAAGGCGGCGGGGAAAGGAGAGCAGAACCCGAACCACCCCCCTCTGCAGCCTGCCCGAAACGGGCGCTAACTCCCTGCCACCTGATAGCCAGATCTGGGGCAGTCTAATATCCAGGAAGACATACAAGGGACAGGGAGGAACCCCCAGCCCTGATCAAGGACCCCTCCGAGATTTAAAACACTGTGGATGATTTGCCTGCCTGCTCTTATTTATTAAAAAATATTTCTTTAATTCTACATATATACTACCAAATCCTTACAGACTCATGGTTGTTTATAAAATAAGCAATAAAAATTAGCTGTGTCATACGCCTGCCTGCCTGCCTTTTCTGATCTCCTTCCTTCCTTCCTTCCTTCCTTCCTTCCTTCCTTCCTTCCTTCCTTCCTTCCTTCCTTCTCTCATCTCCTTCCCTTCGTTCCTTCCTCCCTTCCTCCCTACCTACCTGCCTGCCTACCACATTTCTGGCCTAGGGCTGAAGTGGGAAGCCAGCCTTACTTGTCTCTCTGGGGCAGCCACGTTCTTGCGTTCTTGGCCCCACAAGTCTCCATGGAGGGGGTTCCATAATCCAGGTTTAGGCAGCTGATAGTGGGGATTGCCAGGGGCTCCGGGACCGGACAGGTGCTGGCCTGCCCCGTTACCACCATTCTGCTCCCCGACAGGCATTTGCAGAAAGAGAGCAAGAGGAGACGGTCACGGCCTCAGAATCCCCACAGCCTCCTCCCCACATGCTGCTGGACATCCTTCCCCACCTAGGGGGAAACAGGAGCGGAAAAGAGAGCCCAGCGGGAGATGAACAGAACTCCCGAGGTCGGCCTACAGATCGACTCGTGCCGACAGCCACCAAAGCAGAAGAAAAGAGCAACAGCTGGAAGGGGTGGGGGGCCGTTAAGCATGTGCAGAGCGCAAAAGGGAGGAAGGGTGGTGCACCTGCTGGGAAGTGCAAGGGCTATGCTACCTGGTCGGGACTGGTGCTCCTCCGTCTCTTCATGGGAGCGGGCATCTCTTCGCTGTGCCCTGGGTGGGCGGGGTGCTGGACCGGAGGGACGGGCTGGACCACGGGGGGCTCCATGGGCGGGCCAGGCCTCTTGAGCTGGGGGTTGCGCTTGGCAGAGAAATTCCTCTTCTGGAAGCGGGGAGGGAAGGCAAGAGAGATTCATTTGCCCGGAATAATTCTCTTTATCTACTAAAATCCAACTAGGAGGCTTTCACTCGAAACCATGACACGTCTAGGCGAGGCCTGGAGGAAACCGGCTCGCGCCAGCAACTATCCATGCGGAGGAAATGAGGGGACAACACGGCTTCCGAGATTTGCCACTAAAGAAAAATTGGTTCAAGATCAAAAGGTGTCAAGAAGAGCCGGCCAGATGCTCTGGAGTAGGTTAACACTTATGCAGTTCCTTCTCTTTGGCAATGACTTGGAGGAAGCATTTTAGAAAGGCTGAAACATAACAAAGCCTGAAGACACAGAAATTTCCTTTTGTTCTTCTTCAGCGGGGTTCCCACTTCAGCTTAAACGGCATCGTGTTTCTGCAGTGCCCACCAGAAGCTTAAGGCTGCTCATTAGACCGGTGTTTCTTAACGGTGGCGACTTTCAGAGGGGTGGACTTCAACTCCCAG